GGGGGGGGGGGGGTGACAATCAGGTGTGGAAACAGCAAATCCTATGTTCCTGCTCATTTGCTAGCACCGCTTCCATCTGTGCAAGTGTTCGGGGAAACACTGTGAAGATGCAGCAAGTTTGAAGCATAACACACATCCTAGTATTTTGGCACATTACTGGGGTGCAAAATCTCTTTGCAGCAGCTGTGTGCAGCACACTGCCAGGCTGCAAACAGAAGGCAGGTGCATGTGCATGGCAAATGCTCCCAATTTCAAAACAACAAGCCCCTGCCTCACATCACTGGTCTATTGGCTGCTTGGGCTGTCTTCATTAGGAGTCGGGGCTCCCAATTTAAGTTTCAGTGGCTGCCTTCACTGCAGGGCAATGGGAGCTGGTATTTGGGTCACCTTGCTGCAGTAGCCTTGCCCTGGCATGGCACTGACATAGCAGAAGAGCTCAGCAGACAGCAAAGTTTCTAACCCATAGTGAGCCCAGAGCTGAATTACCCAATCCCTCCCCCATCCACAGTCCATAACCATTCCCACCCCCCTCGCCCACCAGGTTTTTAAAACAAGTCAGTCAGCTAAACAGCAGTGGCCCCCAATATAAAGCACTTGGCAACATTCACTGCTTTAAATAAAAATGTAGAAACTGCCCTTTTTCCCCAACCCAGTACAAAGAAAGCACCTAATGAGATTATTGTGCTATGTGCTCCTACACACACAGGAAAACCATCACGGGAGCCTACTGCAATCTACGGAGGGCACAGATGGCACTGGCGGCCTTACTCTTCCAGCCAGCTCTGCTTACGCTGCTACCCCAGGGCATGGCCATCACTCCCATCTCCTGCTACCAGACAGGCTTAAAGCAATGTCCATGCTTCTCGGCGTATCAAACCCAGGCCCACTTCCCTCCCCACCCAACAACTGCAGGCAAGAGCTCTAGCAGAGCATGGCTGTAACCCCACAGGATTGCAAACCGGCACCTCCTCCACTTTCCTTCGGTCGCTTGATCACACAGCAGCTAGACTAGCAGCTTCACGAAGCTTCCCGTCCCAGCCCACATGGGGCAGTTTAGTCCCTAGGTCAGCCCTCGTGCTGTCCCGGTGCCAGGGACAGGCCACAAAAGATCCTGCATACGCAGCGGTAGTCGGTCACTGTTGCAGGCTCCGGCAGAGAGGGAAGTGAACATGACGCTGGCATCTGGGGAGGCAAAAAAGGGAAAGCTCATTAACAGGCATGTCACTCGTCTACCACAGCCCCAGCCAAGCACATCCCTCCCGCGCGGAGGAGATCACAACCGAGGCTAATCAGTCCCCCAGGGAAACAACGGGCTGCACGCTCTCCCCTGTCTGCAGAGCCTTGAAACCCTTGTGTTGTCAGCCCTTGTCACGTCTGCTTCACTGCACCACGTTCCTTGGCCACAGGCGGCTTGGCAGGCCTTGCAGGGAAGGGGCTGGGGGGGAAATTGTGAGGGGTCATCAAGAAATTATGGGGGGGTCATCAAGACTGTTCTGGAGAGAAGGGGAGTTGAGCTCGAGAAGAGACTGGGCATCTCAGTGCGTATCGTGATTGGCAAAAACCCTGAGCCCTGGCTAGGACATTTCCAAAAAAAAGCCAACCCCCCCCTAGAAATGGAAAATGGAAGAAAACTGGGAACTTTAGGGGAGCAGCGAGTGATACATACTTTCCCTTTCCCCCCACAACACCAACCATACAAGATGGGAAGTTTCCAAGGGGCTGGTAAGTACAGTCAGGAGCCAGATCACAGGCTCCAGGTGTTTTATGTTTGTCCAGGTATAGGAGAAGCCTGATATCGATACGCCTGGCTCCTGCGGCCAGTCACTCCCTTCCGACTGCGCCCCATCGACAGGCTTCAAAGATAAACGCTCGCTCTTAAACTGCAGCCAGTGACTGCCTTGCTTTTGCCATTAAGTAGATGCAAATTAGTTTTCCCATGAGCCACGACAAAAAATAAAACAAAACAACACAACACAACACACCCCACCCCACTAAGCTGGGATTATGATTAATTGAAATGACAGGCCGGCCACACCCACAAGATGAGGTTAGCTGCAGCATTTTGAGCATGGCCAGAGCTGGGTCCTGGACAACTTCATGATTGCCTGCAGCTTTCTGAGGGTGGGGGGTCTGGAAACCCAGAATTCAAAGTTCATTAACCAAGGACAGAGCCAGGGTGCGACCATCTGACCAGCCCGTTCCCACTGCCCCGAGCCAGGAGAAGGCAGAAGTAGCTAGCAGTGAATTACGTTTTAAAAATGCTTGTAATCTAAAGGTGTAATTAAATAACCCAGGGAAGGAATTGATGAACAGATATGAAGTTTATTGTGACTGTGGCCTCTTAAATTATCATATAGCTCTGAGACTGGCACCAAGCCCTAATCCTCAAAGCTATATAGGTGCCTAAGTCCACCACTTAGGCGTCACGGATGAGCTTCAAAACCACCGCTCAGCTGCTGCCCCAGCCTTGAGTTTTTGCTGGCAGGAAGATGCAAGGCTGCGGCACAGCTGTGCGCAACCCCAGCTCAACCAAGGGGCCGGACAGCCTGAAGTGAGGCATCTCAAAGGGAGCCACTCCTTTGCTATAATCATGCTCAGGTGCTATGCTAGACCCAGCCTCAAAGGCTTGCTTTGTAGCTGGGGGATGTAAACCTCAAATCTTGCAAATCCCAAAGAGCCTGAAGTGCCCCAACCACTAGGTATGCTCAGTCTGGCAGTGCCTGCCAGTTGAACGTCCTGCATCAATGCAGTCCTCAGCTCAGGCTCCCCATGAGCTAGCCCCATACAGAGAGTTTGATGCACAGGAAGGGAACCAAGGAAAGCAGCGAGTGAGCAGGAGACAAACCTGAGTAGGTAATAGGAAATGCAAGGAAGCTAGAGGAAGAGGTATGCAGCTTGGCCAGAAATTCTCATGCATTAATCCCCTCCTGGAGTTTAACAATTAAGGCAGGCCAGCTCTCTCTCAGGAAGCAGCACCGAGACCCCCACCTCATCTATCTCATCTTCTGCAGCAGGTGGGAGCCCTGTTTATAAATCCAAACCCCACCAGCGTTGGAACAGAGACACGAACCCAGGAAGAGTGCCCAAACCAAGATGGGAGGATTTCAAAATGAGTCTCTTTCTCTTCTATGAAGCTGTTCTGTACCATACAAATAATCAAATATTTATTGGGGCAGGACTTGAAACCTGACCCTCCCAACTCGCAGATGAAAGCCCTAATTCTTGGGCTACAAAGTTCCTCCTGATTTTTCTCTCTTTCCAATTCTATGCTCCTTTGCAAATTGACCCCTTAAATCCCACACTGATGAGCTCCTCAGACAAGCCATATGGAATAAGCCCGTTCTTATATACACTCTCCTCCTGCTGTTCAAGGGGCAGAGCTGTCCTCACTGGTGCTGCTGCTTTTGTTGAATGTTGCCTGCTTTAATTGTTCTTCATTTAGCAAGAGAACAGCCTGTCCTACTCCGCTAATCAGGCTCCTGATTGATTTGCATTTATCCTTTCCTTACTGAAGATCTCTGGAGTTTGTACATGCCTCTTCGCATCGCATCTGCTCAGTCTCACCCAGCTCCCAAAGTGAAACAGGGCAGTTTCATAATGTCTCTCTTGCTGTTTAATGCAGGAAGTATTAACAAAACTAATATTGTACCATGGGAAAGCGGCAAAGTGAGCATTCAGAGAGCGAGATAGAGTGAAACGCTAAGCAAATCTCTTATAAAAAGTCCAAATGGGAAGAAAGAGGGTCCACATCACTTTTAAGCCTCACAGAGGACCAATAAAATGTTATTATTTCATGGGTCACCGATCACTTGAGACAGAGAAATCAGCTGCAGGGCTGTGCGCGCTGGGCAAGATCAGGCTTTTCCTTTTAAAGCTGCTAATTACCCTTGATCCCTGGAATTACTGGTGGCCATCAGCACTTATTTTATTGTGCATTCATGGTGGGAACCCTGCGGAAAGGTGCTCTGATGCAGACCGGCCTATGCTGAAACCTGGCCCAGTGGGAGATCAAGCTTCTCCCTGGAAACAAGTTTGTCCCAGTTATGATTACCGCATTTCAAACTAAAGTAAGGTGTGATTGGGAGCTTTGTGGATCAGCATTTTTTTTTTGGACAGGACATATACGGACCATTAGGCACCCATGGCCATAGGAAAAAAAAAGATGGATCAACACGTTACATACCTACCTCCCATTTATGTCTCTAAAAAACCCCCCAAAAAACCTCTCTTCCCCTCCTGAGCACAAACCTTCCAACTACACTCTATCGTGTGGTTAAACAGCCCAACGCTAGTGCTCTGCAAAGCTGTGCTGAAATGAATATTAAGGTCCATGAAGGGGCCAGGCCCTGGGGACGTTTCCCTGGACAGAGTGGGTGATGGCAAAGATGTCAGGATGTCGGGAAGTTTTCTGGGCTCCAGACAGTGAAACCAGCTGGCCAGAGTTAGCAGCCAAGAAGAAAGAAAGTTCATCTTGGCCCCAAGAGGCCAAACATGCCTTGGCCTTTGGGTCAATGTGTACCAGGCTGAAAGCACAGGATTTCAAAGAATAGCCATGGACATTTTGCTCCTTACTGAGAGATGGTGTAAACAGAGCAAAGGGCAGCAGCAATGAGATTTCTACCATGCTGACAAGCAGAGAGGCTTGAACACTGTAGGTCAAAAAATATTCAGATACGTGGGCGCTCTGGGAAACTTGAAGATGCATCTGAATGCAGCTGGGCTCAGAGTATAAGCCAGATGCTCTCCCTGCTTCTGCACAAGGGAAAGGCTTCGTCTCCACCTCCAGGTCTCCATAGACCAGCCCCTGCTGAAAAAACCAGCAGTCGATGGTGCTACTGACAGAAGTGCCCTGGATGCGCCAGAAGATGGTCCTGGCTAACATGACCTGCATTGGGCATCTCCTCAGCTGCCAGGCAGGAATGGGAAGATCCCTCTGTGCCGGATTGGTGCACGGAGCTATCTACAATGTGTGCACCCTCGTACTTAAATGGGGGGGGGGGGGAAAGGGCAAAAGG